CTCTCTGCCAAACAGCTCCCCCCCAGCCAGCCCTGCTTCCTGCTGGCCGGTCTCCCCCCCATCTCCTCCGTTCAGCCCCATTCCCCTCAACCTCCTCTTGGCCAGCACTGCTTCCCGCCTGCTGGTTCCCCCTCTTCCCCCTGCTGATCTCCTTGGGCCAGCCCCACTCTCCCCGCCACCCTCTCCCAGCCAGCCCTGCTCCTCTCCAGGCCGGTTCCTCTCCCCTTGCCATCTGAGATCAAGTGTGCCTGGTATTTTTTTTAAATCATCTGGAAACCCTATTGGCACTGCATTCCTCAGTGGGATACAGAGCACACATGGGCAGCTTTGCCAATGCTATGAAAGACAGGAGGGGTTGTTGGTGCCACTGGCTGGGTGGATTTTTTCCCCTGAAGGGGGTTCATGATCCCAGCTCTGTGCACTACCACACCCTTTCCCAAGCATCAGCCAGACAACTCAATCCCAAAGCACTTTCCAAGGGGAATATGCTGTGGTGGCCAGCACCTCTGGTGATGGGACTGACCTTTGTTATCTTGACCAGGGGCCTGTCTGGCAATGAAATAGAGTGTCTTCCTCAGATGTGCCTCCTGCTCCCCCAATAACTGCTGGATATCCATCCTTTCATTGTCTGAACTGGGCCATCGGCCAGAGATCTCCAAAGCAAGGACCAGGTCAGTAGACATGAATGTGTCCCCTTGATTGTCAACCATCACTAGGGGTACCGCTGGGCTATTCTGCTTTTTCCTCTCCAGTCTCATCTGCCATCCAGGAAAGGGCACTGAGACATCAGACACACAGTGAACAGACACGTGGGAGAGCTTAGAAAGAGGCAGTAATTTATCAAGGGGCTTGTTTGAGTTTATACTAATGTCAGTTGGCCAAAGAAACCAAACCCACCAGAAACCAACCCCCAGAGAAATTAAATCAAATTCCGTAGGGCAGGACTCCTAGTGGGGAACCCACAGCTTTCCCCAGGAGATGGAGGCCAACTGGCTCAGTTCTGTATAGCGTGAGGGCTCCTCCTGGGCCTCTGGCCTTTCCCTTCTGGAGACATGGGTTGAGATTTATGAGATCACATGAGAAACCGAGCATGCCAGTCTCAGCCTAACCCCTGTCTCAGCTATGGGCTGTCGCTTTACGACGGCTCAGGCGTGGAAGAGCAGGAGATGTCACAGGTCAGGATGGAAGGGGAGATCTGGCTAGCCCCAGCACAGGACATTCACCTGAGTAGAACACTTTGATGAACTGATCCACATGCTCCTGGAACTCTGCCATGATGCGCTCAGGGGACACAGTCTGCCCATCCTCCATCAGGAAGGCGGCTGGAAAGCTGCGGGACTTTCTCGGCAGAGTCAGGGTATAGAAGAGTCCGTTGTAACCCTCCACCTCTGCGTAGTGGACATAGTCTGTGATCGGCAGGCTCAGCAGCACGTCAAACTCATTTGGATGCAAGAGCTGTAGACAAAGTCACCTCCAAGAGATGCTGTTGAATTCTTTGCAGCCTGTCAGTTCTCATCCCTTCTCACTTCTTCTCAGCCCCTTTCCTGCTTTCATTCCCTCCCTGATCCAAACTCTCCAACAACCTCCTATCTCTCCTTCCCCTGCTGCTGTCGCCTTACAAGGCTCTGACAGCTCCCACTGCCTATACTCCCTCTCCTGGTTACTAGAACTCTAGAACTGGAAGGGACTAACAATGTTTCATTGCTGTTAATTTACTAGTTAAGTAGTCAATGGAATTTCCATCCACTACTCAACTAGTTGATAGGCACTTTCGCATTCCTCAATGTAAAAGAGCCTCCACTGGGGCTCTTGTACATTTCTAAGGAGGAATACAGAACACGCATGCAGCCTGGGGTTAGGGGTAAATCCTGCTAACTCTGGACTGCATGGGGCGTGCCAGCTTTGAAATGTACAAGAGTTCCCAGCGGGGGCTCTTGTGCATTTCAAATTGTAAGAGCACTCATAGAGCCCACTGAACCAGGGCTCCATGTTGCACTGCCGATTTGAAATGCCACGCTGAGCCCGGGTGATCCCCAGCTCCACAGAGCACTTCAGTGGAACCCAGGATCAGCTGGGAAGTCCCTAGTTGACCCTGGGCTCCAGACAGTGCAGCTGCTTTGAAACACCACCTCGGTATTTCAAAGGGGCAGCCCCAAACAGCTGATCCCAGGATCAGCTCTGGGCACTGCTCCTTTGAAACGCAGAGGCAGCATTCAAAGGGGTGCTGCCCTTTGCAGTACCCCTTCCTCCCTTCCTTTGCTGCCTCTATCTGATAGAGGCAGCAAGGGGGGGGGGTGAACTAGTTGACTGACTATCCGATAAGCATTTGCTTATCAGATAGTCAACTAGTCCTTAACATCCTTAGAAGGGACCTTGAGAGATCAAGTGCCATCCCCTGCGCTGACGGCAGGACCAAGCACCGTCTCTAGATCATCCCTAAGAGATGCCTGTCTAACCTGCTCTTAAATATCTCCAGAGATGGAGATTCCATAATCACCCTAGGCAATTTATTCCAGTGTTTAACCACCCTGACAGGTAGGAAGTTTTCCCTAATGTCCAACCTAAACCTCCCTTGCTGCAATGTAAGCCCATTGCTTCTTGTCCTGTCCTCAGAGGCCAAGGAGAACAATTTTTCTCCCTCCTCCTTTAAACACCCTTTTAGATACCTGAAAACCGCTATCATATCCCCTCAGTCTTCTCCTTTCTCAACTAAACAAGCCCAATTTTTTCAGTTCTTCCTCACAGCTCATGTTTTCTAGACCTTTAATCGTTCTTGTTGCTCTTCTCTGGACCTTCTCCAATTTTTCCACATCTTTCTTAAAATGTGGTGCCCAGAACTGGACACAATACTCCAACTGAAGCCTAATCAGTGCAGAGTAGAGCGGAAGAATGACTTCTCATGTCTTGCTCACAACACTCCTATTAATGCAGCCCAGAATCATGTTTGCTTTTTTTGCAACAGTGTCACACTGTTAACTCATATTTAGCTTGTGGTCCACTATGACCCCTAGATCCCTTTCTGCCGTACTCCTTCCTACACAGTTGCTTCCCATTCTGTATGTGTGAGACTGATTGTTCCTTCCTAAGTGGAGCACTTTGCATTTGTCCTTATTAACTTCATCCTATGTACCTCAGACCATTTCTCCAGTTTGTCCAGATCATTTGAATTATGATCCTATCCTCCAAAGCAGTTGCAACCCCTCCCAGATTGGTATCATCTGCACATTTAATAAGCATAATCTCTATGTCAATATCTAAATCATCGATGAAGATATTGAACCGAACCGGTCCAAAAACACACCCCTGTGGAACCCCATTTGTTCTGCCCTTCCAGCATGATTGTGAACTGTTAATAACTACTCTCTGAAAATGCTTATCCAGCCAGTCATGCACCCATCTTACAGTAGCCCCATCTAAGTTGTATTTGCCTACTTTATTTATAAGAAGGTCATGGGAGACCGTATCAATGCCTTACTAAAATCTAGGTATACCACGTCCACCACTTCTCCCTTATCTACAAGACTGATTATCCTATTAAAGAAAGCTATCAGATTGGTTTGACATGATTTGTTCTTTACAAATCCATGCTGGCTGATACCTATCACCTTATTTTGTTCCAGATATTTGCAGATGATTTCCTTAATTTCTTGCTCTATTATCTTTCCTGGCACAGAAATTAAACTGACTAGTCTGTAGTTTCCTGGGTTGTTCTTATTTCCCTTTTTATAGATGGGCACAATATTTGCCCTTTTCTAGTCTTCTGGAATCTCTCCTGTCTTCCAAGATTTTTCAAAGATGATCAATAAAGGCTCGGATACCTTTCCTCTATCAGCTCCCTGAGTATTCTAGGATGCATTTAATCAGGCCCTGATGACTTGCAGACATCTAACTTTTCTAAGTAATTTTTAACTTGTTCTTTTTTTATTTTATCTTCTAAACCTCCCCCATTTTGACTAGCATTCACTATGTTGGGCATTCCTTCATCATTAGACTTCTTGGTGAAGAGCAAACCAATGAAGTCATTAAGCACCTCTGCCATTTCCAAGTTTCCTGTTATTGTTTCTCCCTCTTTACTGAGCAATGGGCCTACCCCGTCCTTAATCTTCCTTTTGCTTCCAATATAGTTATAGAATGTCTTCTTGTTACCCTTTATGTCTCTAGCTAGTTTGAGCTCATTTTGTGCCTTTGCCTTTCTAATCTTGCCCCTGAATACCTGCATTGTTTGCTTATATTCATCCTTTGTAATTTGACCTCATTTCCACTTTTTATATGACTCCCTTTGGATTTTTAGATCATGGTTAAGCCAAGGTGGTTTTTTGCCATACTTTCTATCTTTCCTACAGAATAGTTTGCTTTTGGGCCCTTAATAATGTGTCTTTGAGAAACTGCTATCTCTCTTCATTTGTTTTTCCTCTTAGTCTTGCTTCCCATGGGGCCTTACCTACCAGCTCTCTGAATTTACTAAAATCTGCCTTCCTGAAATCCATTGTCTATATTTTGCTGTTCTCCTTTTTTCCATTCCTTAGAATCATGCATTCTATGATTTCATGGTCACTTTCACCCACACTGCCTTCCACTTTCAAATTATCAACCAGCTCCTCCCTATTTGGTTACCTTTCCAAACTCATGGCTGCTCCCCGACCTCAATTCTCGCATGTCCCGGAAGTAGGGTCTCTCAGGACATTCATTCAAGTAGCTGAAGAACTGGCGGATGAAGGCATGGAGAAGATCTACGGCATTGGCCACATCCAGATGTTTCAGGCGGAGGGACTTTGCCCTCTCTTTAATCCGGGTGAGGTTGTCTTTCTTCCAGTCCTGAAAGGTACGTACTGCAGCTGAGGTTCCTGGTTTCTCACTCAGATCAGTGGAGGCATCTTGGGAATAAATCTGCCCCAGGTCTCCTAAAAGGAAACATTAGAGATGAGTGATCCCTGACAGTTCAGCCAACTTCCATCAAACCATGCCATTACCGCTTCTAGAGTATGTGCATTCTTCTCCTTCCACCTGTACACATACCACTGACTCCAAGAGGAGAAGGAGCTGGGCCTTATTTTGTGCTGTCAATAGGAAGATTGCGAAAAGGGACAGCAAGAGGTGGCTGAGCAGAGGGAGAATCTGTGAGGTCAGCTGGAGTAAATGGGGTCAGGGATAGCGTTTCCTCTAATTTTTTTGCATCCATGTGCAGAATAAATGTTATGTGTACCAAGGCATGTGTGGACATTTACCATCATAGAAACATGTTGTGCTGGCTGAGAGTGCTGTGGGTGCTCTGCTAATCCGATGGATGGCACGTGAATCTCTCCTGGGTGGCCACCCAAGTGCTGTTTACAGGGAACACTAGTCAGGGATGCTAAGGGAAGGCTGGCGTGTGTGTTTTGTACTGTGAGATTCTTCATCTCTGTTAATTCAGACCAATCAGAAGAGAAGTGACGCTGGCATGGCTTATAACTGCCTTCATTTTGATTGCAGTGCCTGGCACACTTACAGGACATTTCTAATGACAAGGTCCATGGCTTTGAGGTGATAGGACATGCTCCTCCCATCACAAATTTGGGGATTACCATATTGTGAGGGTTGGGGTATTTCTAAGCAGAGCCTTGTTTCTGGCAGTGGGCACTTCCAGAAAAGTAGCACCTCATTCTCACCCACAGGTAATTTCCTCCTGTCCTCAGCTAGTGAGCAGTTTATAGCTTGAAGCCTGAGGATCAGTGGCTTGGAAAACTTTTAGCTGAGTTAGAGTAAGTGCAGATGCTATGGAGCCAAATGCCTGCACATCCAATAAGGGAAGATGTGTGGGGTAGGTGGGGGGAGGGCAAAGTTGCACAGCCAACCCTCACAAATCCCAAAAGGGAGCAGAGGGAAAGAAAGGGTGGACAACAAACAATGTCATCTAGCTCCAACCTCACATGCTGTGAGATCATCAGACTGAAAATTGTGATGGCCTGACAAACAGCCCAGCTCCAATGGAGATACACTGACCTGCCGATTTCATGTGGAGCTTGTCTGACTCCACCTTCCATCTGCTGTGGGTGCCAGGGCTCCGGAGCTGCTGGGAGGTCTCTGGAGCATGGGAGCCCAAAGCCTCTACGTTCCACTGCTTCCTTGCCCTGAGGTTTGAAGAGTCTGCTGCTCCTGATGGGGACCAGGCTCTTCGGCTTGCTGCTGCCTCAGGGTCTCCTGGCTCTGTGCTTCTGCTGGCTTTGCCCTTCCTCTGAGGATTCTGCCACACCCCATGGCTCTTGGCTGGCATGACGCTGAGGGGCACAGAGCTTGCACTTAACGACAGGCCTGCCATCTTGCCTTTGGACCCTGTGAGGTTCAAAGAGAATCCAGGAATTTATTGTGGTTCCAGGTTTCTTTTCCCTAATGGCCAATTAGCGGAGAAATAAACCATAAAGATCATGGTCTCCAGTGCTTCCGTTCCTATCCCCCTCAGTCAGAAATCATGCAGACTGCCCACACTTCCAGGCAGTCTCGTGGAGCTACAGTGCCCTTTCATCTACTGCAACCAAGATCCAGCCAGCCTCATCCAGTCCCTTTCCTGAGTAGAGGGCACATCCCAGCCCTCACATGCCCTGTTACTTCTGTCTCTTGAGGACAGCAGCCCGTTGGGTGTTGGACTCAGTCACACATGGGAGGCACATCATCCCTTATGCCCTCACCAAAATGTTAGCAGCCAGAGGAAGCAATTGGATAGAATTTCATAGCCAATACAGGCAGGATCCAGCCCACCCTAGTTTAGGCTTGCTTTTTTCAGAGATCAGCTGCAATGAGCATTTTCCTTTTTTAGTTCTCAGCTACCACCTTTTCTCTCTGGTTACATCTACGCTGCAGGCTTCTTGCGCAAGAACTGCTTTGTGCAAGAGTTCTTCTGCAGAAGGTCTTCCACAAGAGCCATGTGCTTTTGCGCAAGAGCATCCATGGCACTGTGGACACTCTCTTGTGCAAGAAAGTGCTGATGGCCATTTTAGGCAAAGGGGTTTCTTGCACAAGAAATTCATGTTGCTTGTCTACACTGCCTTCTTGTGGAAGAGCTCTTGCACAAGAGGGCTTATTCCTCGTGGGGAGAGAAATAACTCTTCCGGAAGAAGCCGTGTTTTCCAACATTGTACTGTAAATTTACTTGTGCAAGAACATGCATGCAGTGTAGACACTGCAAGTTTTTGCACAAAACTGTTCTTGTGCAAAAAGCCAGCAGTGTAGGCGTAGCCTCGGCCTCTGCGGCTAATGAATCCCATCACCCAACTAGTTTATTGTCCTGATTTTTATTGCCTTCAGGAAGAAAAGCACCAGTGGGGCCTTTTAATTGTGAAAGGGACAATTGCAAAGAATCAGAGAGCATAAGTGGGATCCTTTCCATGAGTTTGGGTCCTAGTCAAGCCTCCACAGCCAATGTGAGCATCCTTGCCCTAGAGGAGTAGCTCTCCTGCTAGCCAGTCCTCGTTTTCACCTTGCTTCTCTGGCCTAGGAGGTCCTAACCCCAATTAGCCATTTTACAGGTAGCCTCAAGCTGTGTGCGCCCAACAGGTGCTACAGGAGCATACACAGAGCAGCAAGGAAAGGGTTTGCCGGAGTAATGATAGTTAGATCAACAGAAGCCTCGTCAACCTGGCTGTGCCTCGGCCATGGTGTTAGCCAGGGGCGGATACAGGGCAGGGCGAACGGGGCGGCCGCCCCGGTCCCCGCGCTTGAAAAAGCCCCGCACATGCGCCATGGTGCCACTGCGCATGTGCCATGGCAAAGGGGGGGCCCGCAAAACAGTCATCTGCCTCTGGTGTTAGCTCAGAACCGTAGAGCTCAGGGGGCCTAGATATTCCCCCCTCCCCAATATCCATATTGACAAGCATAAGCTACACTTTGGATGCTGGAGGATCCTTGCTTATCCCATACCCTTCTGGGCAGGAGATTGAACAGAGGGAGTTTAAGGTCTGCTTCTGCCAGTAGGCTTCTGGGAGGAAGAATCCTACACATTATCCCTTTGGGAGCCAGCTTGCCTAGCTATAGGTTAGCCCTCAGCGTTGCTTCTCTAAGGGAGGCTCACCACCCCTACTTCAAGTGAGGCTTTGCTCAGTCTGGACTGGATGCAGATTTGTCAATTCAAAGCCAGAGGGACAGACCAGAAATGGCCCCAAAACAGATTTTGATTTTAAAGTTGCTAGAGATGGAGAATCCACTATGACCTCAATGGTTTGCTGCCTTCACTGTTAAGCATGTAGCTTGGCCAGGTTGATATTCAGCTTCCAGCCCTGGGATTGGGTTTCTGCCTCTGCTAGTGCATTATTACATAGCCCCTTCCCCTTGTAGATACTTCAGCTGGTCAGGTCACCCCTTAAACCTTAAATCCAGTGGGAGGCGAGTGCCCCTTAGACACCATGTAGCTCTGCTCTGGAGTCAGCAGCAGCTAGCCCAGCACTGCTTATATAAGCCAGTCTCCGCCCTGTTGGCAAATCCCCATTAAAAAAAAAGTCCACTTAGGTCTGTGCCAAGAGGAGCTGAGGCTGTCATTGGACAAGCCAAGACCAGTCCCTCCCCTCATTATGTGGGATGATCCCAGAGGAGGGCCTGGGGCACAGAAGGAAGAGGAGAACAGGATCCTCCACCAGCTATGGGGCCCCTGGTTAAGGGTCCAGCATGGAGAGTGGGTAGTGACTAGCCCTGAAGGTACCTTACCCCAGCTTGCCACCTTCCAGCCCACAAGGTTGCTACCACTCGCCTTTGAGGGAAGAGCCTCTGACGAGTGGCCTGAACAATTTGACAGTTCACCCCCTACAGCAGGAGATGCTCAGGGT